AAAACATTCTTATACTCTTCACAATAAAAATAAAGCAAGCATATTTAAGCAAGAAAAAAACACTGTACATAATTCTTACTTCTTTTGCTTCCTTTGACTTGACACGGTCTAGATCACCTAATCTCATCTTTATTAGGTGTCCTGTAATTTCAGACATACGTCGCTGGTCTGAAGGTTAAAAAAAAAATACTTATTTTTTCATAAGGATAATTTATAAATCAACTTTTATTTCTTAAAGAAGTCTGCAATCATCAAAAGTTTATGAAAATATCACTGTTTTATAGAAATTCTATCTCTATATTGTTTGATATAGGATGCAAGTGGCAAAATGGCTTATATGTCAATAATGGTGTTATTTTTGGGACTGTAAACCAAGCCTAAAACATATTTAGTCACCTTTAAAGTGAAATAAATCAAAGTCAATCTGAGAGACTTTAAAACCATGGGTGCAAAAAATATATTTATTTTTTATTGGGATTGTCTAATAATGAAACTGATATATAAGAGAATGTGCTAATTCTGGGTCTTATTCCAGCTGGACCTTTAAAGCTATTCAGCATAGTTCATAAAATGAACAATTCCTATCACTGTTATTCTACTTAATTTGTATATTATCAATAACAAAGCATACCATCTTCTCTTTGTGCATCCTGATTGAATCTCAATGATCTCGTGGCATCCCACTTATTCTTCTGCATACTCACACTATTAAAAAAATTAATTAAATAAAATTCAGCATGAAATTTAAAAATTGGACATCTGATCAGATTAAAGAGCAATACTCACACGAAAGGAGATACATCTCTAGAAGTTGACTAAAAAAAAGTAGAAAACATTAAGGTCCATTAGAAAATACTTATTCTTAGTGTCAAAGTTAATAATAAAAAGAGTTTATGTTTTAGTGCAAGATATTGCACCAAGAGCATTACAAGCATTTCATTTAAGTTTTTTAGTAATTATGTGAGACACGTGCTATTGCTAAATTTATAATAAAACAAGTTCAAAGACATTAAAATATTTTTTTCCAAAAGAGATATGGACCTAGAATTTGAACCCAGCTTTATGTCTGATCTGGAAGTTCCAGCTCATGCAATCTTTTAAGAATTAGCCCATTTGTGATAGTTAGCAGGAAGATGAATGGAGAATTTATCCAGTGCAATTGTGTGGAACTTGCTTCTACACATTTTTGAAATCTATGGTTTTTCTTTTAGTCAACTGTGGTTATTAATATTCTCTTACACTTACCTGGCTTTTTATCCCTTCCTTTGAAGGCATAAAAAATAATAATTATTTTAAAAGGTAACAAAAATAGAACTGATTAAAACATTTAAAAATCTATCTTATTTTAATGACTTTATTTTTTGATTAGTGGCTCAAACATGAAAAGGAACATAGAGCACATATAGTAAAAGTCCTGTGTCCTACTCAGTTTTCTTCCTTAGAAGCAATCAATCTTCATTTCTTATCTAGCTTTCCAGAGACATTTTTTGCACATATAGGAGGTTCATATATTTCCTTTATCTAAACAAATGGTACACTATTCCACTTTACATAGCTCTGCACTCTCTTTTTCTCACTTTTCAATATAACTTAGAGATCTTTCCTTAGTCTATACAGAAGTTCGTCATCCATTTATACTCTCTAGCTAGAGTTCCATTATTATTTTACTTTTCATTTTCAGATTTTTCTGTCTAAACTTGTTTATGTATTTCTTGGTATGAACCACAGAACAGTAATGGATAATTCAGAGTTACCTTTTCCAATGTCTTCTCTTTTTTTTGACCACAGGGTGAAGACATCTGTTTTTTTGGTTGTTTAGTGAACTTCTTTGGTTTTTCTTTTTTCCCTGAAAACAGATGGTTAATGTTTTGGCATAAGTCCCATATACTTCTCCAATGAAAACTAACACATTTGTTACTTCCAAATAAAAAAATTTTTTAAGACATAGAAAATACTGCTTTTGAAAACTAGCAAATTACCTCTGAATAAAAAGTTGATTTATGGAGAAGCCAAACTGAAAGTGCTCTACAAGGGTTCATTTTAATTATTTTTCATCTTTCTACATGGTGAAAACCTTTGGGGGGAAAAATGAGGGCAATGAATTCAAAGTCCCAGTGAAATTAAATGTAGGAAAATGACATACTTTTTTTTAAAGATTTATTTATTTATGCATACAGAATTGGGGTGCAGGCCAGAGGTACAGGGGCTGTGAAAGTATTCACCTGCGACAAAGTGGGGAGCAGAACAGGCAGACTGAGGAAGTACACTGCTGAGGGGAGCAGCAGGTGAGACAGGAGAGGTCTGCTGCACCATGTGGGTCACCTCCCCTGCCAGGGATCACACTAGCTGAAGCTGCTATAGATAGCTTCATAGTACCCTGCTTTACCCCAATGCGCCAACAGGGAGGGCTCATGACATAGTTATTTTCTGACACTAATTTCAACAGTAGAGTCATTGCCTAATTCCACACTTTTAAAAGTAATAATAGCCTAGAAAAATAGGACTCAAGAGTGACAGCAGAGAAGGATTCACTAAAAAACTTTAAAGTGTTTTTGCTTAGGAAAGAGGTGGGGCTCAAAAGGTAAAAATAAAGGTAGTAGACACAAATGACTTAGAAAGATTAAGATTTGAAACAACTTTGCATTCAGGAGCAATATATTCAGCAGTCATTATTCTGGATTTATTCTATCTGAAAGTTTGATGGAAAAAGAAGAATAGAAAAGAAGAGGAGAGAGGCATTTTCTTGAAAAACTGTATTTGAAGGTAAGGTTAATAGATCAGGATCACTATTTCCAAACATTAATTATTTATATGCAAATTTTACTATATAACTTAAAAGGGAAACTTTGTATCACTACTATAAATGGAAAACCATTAAAACAAACTAGATGGAAGATAGCTTTGATAATAGAATGAAAACAAAATGATTTTAATAATCTACTCAGATTTATTTACCTTTTGACAAGCCCTAAACTCCCACATGTGTCTTAATTATAATGGGAGACTACCAAGATATAAAATAGCCAAAGGACGTGGCAGAGTGGGACATCTGATGAGCATGTTAAGAGGCTGGACAATCCCTTCCAATGAAAACAGATTAACAACAGATCGAAAATATTAGATACAGACAAATAATCAGAGGTAACTTAGATTTTGAGCATTTATATTTGAAAGATGCATTATGTAAGAATTATGGGTTTGTACCTTTCTTGACTGAGGGTACTTCTGACTCAGGGAAGCAAAGTAATTAGTTTTTTTTAAATTTTTATTTACTTTTATTTTATTATTATTTAAAAAATAGTATCATAGCTTATTTTTACATCATTTTGTACCTTTTTCCATCTCAGTTGTAATCACCGTTGGCTTCCCATTACCAATTCACCCATGTGCCATCACCACAGTCCCCTGCACTCCTCCACCCATTTTTGATCTCATTCCGCACTCCACCCCCATAAAATGCCTCTGGTATATAGTTGTTCATTATTATTATTATTCTCTCCCCTGGTGGAAAGTAATTAGTTTTATGAACTCTAGGAAGAAGATGATAGATTTCAAAGTACCAGAAGCTGGAAATTTTAGAAGTGAGAAAGCCACAGAAAATCTGAACTTTGAAATGTGAGCACAAACTTTGCCAAAATTCCTAGCTGAGTATTACACCACATGTGTATGGAAGGTACTAGAAAGTCCAGATAAAAAGGCAAGGACAAACTAAGGTGTGGTTGTCTACCTTTAGACAGAACTATTCTTGATGACATATGGGAATTTCTTGTGCCTCTGACTGAAAGTTTTCCTCTAACAATTTGAGTTTCAGATATCAGATGCTTTATCGGTTGAAGTATCAAAAGTAAGATTTGAAACTGGAAAACAACAAGACATCCAAAGGCAAACCTATTGAGCAGGTGAACCACTAAGTATTTAAGATTAAAAATATGAATGTAAATTGTCTAAACCTTTGGCTTACAACCAAACTACTAACGCTGCCTTGACTTCTGTGAGCAGGCTAATCTAACAGTAGTAAACAGTGGAAAACAAACAAAACAAAAAACCCTTATGCAGAGATACCACTTACTTTATAACATAGTAGAGAAAGAATTTATAGTTTGAGTTAGGCAAGTTAAAAAAATAATCTTCAAAAGACAAAACAGATTTCAAAGCACCTCTGGCTTATATCCCAGCTTTTGTATGTATAATAAATCTTAAAAAATATATAATCTGAGTAGGTGAGCATGATGGATTTCGCAGATAATGCCTTCAAAGCAAATACTGTAAGTATGTTCAAAGGTAAAATAATATTACTGTGTAAACACATAGGAATTATCAACAGAGTAACAGAAACTAAAAAAAAAAAAGAGAGAGAGACAAAGGGAAATAAATTCTAGTGCTAAAAAGCACAGTGAAGGTGAAAGAAGAACATAAATGAAAATATGAAAAAAAGTAAAAAACCAAAGATTTAAACTTCCGCTTTAAGAATCTAAAAAAAAAAAAAGGGCTCTCCCTGGTGGTGCAATGGGTTAAAGCGCGGCATTATGAAGCTCTCTGAAGCCACTGCAGCATGAGTTCAATCCCCAACCAGGGAGGTGACCCACATGGCATGGCAGACCTCTCCTGACCCACCCACTGCTCCCCTCAGCAGTGCACTTTGTTAATCTGCCTGTTCTGCTCCCCACTCTGTCTCTGGTTAATCCTCTCATTGTCCCCTGTACCTCTGGCCTATAACCCAGTTCTGTAAGCATAAATAAATAAATCTTTTAAAAAAAAAATCTAAAAAAAAAGGAGGAAATTCATTACAAGATAAATACCAACTAGAAGAATGAAAATAATAGAAATACAGACAGAATATAGTGAAAATCATTTCACAGTTCTTTGAAATGACTGGTAGAGCTAATAAACCTGTAGATTAACCTGGTCAAGGCAAAAGCTAAAACATGAATTACCAACACCAGGAATAAAAGAGGAACATCACATGAATCCTTTGGACAGTAAACAGTAATTAGAAAATACTATGAGTAACTTCAAGCTGATATATTTGCCAACTTAGATAAAATGGACAAATTTCTTGAAAGGCATGAATTATAAATAAAAAACATCTGGCACCTCCCTGGTAGCACAAGGGGTTAAGTGTCTCAGCACTATGAAGCTATCTGCAGCCACTGCAGCACAAGTTCAATCCCCAGCCTGGGAGGTAGATCAAACATGGTCTTGCTGTTCCCTTCAGCAGTATATTTCAGTAGGTCTGCCAGTTTTGTTCCCTACTCTGTCTTTGGTGAATCCTTCACCTCTGACCTCAGGCCTGTGTACCAGTTCTTGTATGCATAAATAAATAATAATAAACCTTTTAAAAAGAGGTTTAAAAAGAAACAGGAAACTTGAAATAGCACTATATTAATGAAGATGAATTTCATAATTGCCATGTCCCCCCCAAAAAAAACTCCAGGTCCAGGTGACTTTATATATACATCTATGGAAGAAATAATACAAATACTACAGAAGTTTCTTCATAATAGAGAAATGAAGAATATTTTCCAACTCACTGTATGAAGTAAATCTTGCCCTGATATCAAAACCTGGAAAGGACTTCATTAAAAAAAATCAAAACTAGGCCCTCCCTGGTGGCACAGCAGGTTAAAGCACAACACTGAGAAACTAAAGCCACCTCCGCATTAGTTCGATTCCCGCCTGCCCGGCAGGTGACCACATGGCGCGGCAGACCTCTCCTGACCAGCCCACTGCTCCCCTCAGCAGTGTACTTCCTAGATCTGCCTGTTCTGCTCCCTACTCTGTCTCTGGTGAAGCCTCTCGCCACCCCTGAGCCTCTGGCCTGTACCCCAGTTCTGTATGAACAAATAAATAAATCTTTAAAAAAATTTTTTTTATAAAAAAATAATCAAAACTACAAATATCTTGGAAAAATATTAGCAAGTCAAAAGTAGTTAGAAAATGAGTATTTCATGACCAAGTGGAGATTACAGAATACTTGAAAAAAATCAACATAATCAATCATATTGAGTTGATGGAGAAAAATGCACACACATTCACTAAAAAACTCAGCAAATTAAAAATTAAAAGGAACATAATGTCAGAAAGGGCATTTATGAAAAATGAATAATACTGCATACTTAATGGTTAAAAACTGAATGCTGGGTGCTCCCTGGTGGCACAACAGGTTAAAGCATAGCACTATGAAGCTATCCACTTCCACTGTAATTCTAGCCAGGGTTCAATTCCAGCCAGGGAGGTGACCCACATGGCACAGCAGACTTCTCCTGACACGCCCTCTGCTCCCCTCAGCAGTGTACTTCAGTACATCTGCCTGTTCTATTCCCCACTCTCTCTGGTGAATCCTCTCACCCCATGCATCTCTGGCCTGTACCCAAAAAAATAAGATAAAAATTGAATGTTTTCCCATTAAGTCAGGGAACAATGTAAGAATGTATGTTCTCATCCCCTTCATTCATATCAGGCACACAGTAATAAAAAAGGCAAGACAAAGAAATAAGAGATATATATTAGAAAGGAATTTAAGCAAAGAACAAATGAATTCAATATACAAAGGTAATGTCAATCTCATATCAATGAACAATTGGACAGTGAAAAAAGTCCATTTATATGAAATCGAAGACAAGGTACACTATAATGACAAAAAAACAGATTAGTGGTTGCCTGAGGGTAGGAGTGGGTAAAGGAACTGAGTATAAAGGAGAAAGAAGGAACATTCTAAAGTGATGTTCTAAGGCTTGGCCTTGATGGTGTCTCCACAACTGTATGCCAAAATTCCTTGATTTGTACCCTTAAAAAAATGAGTGAATTTTATTAAATTATACTTAAAACAGCTGTGAAAATAACAACATAGTAGCATTTTCTCCTTCATTAGTTAGAATTGAAAAATAATAAGGGACTGACTTTTTCATTAAGTGATTCAACATGTATGGAAAAATTACGTGAAACTTAGAAAGAAGAAAGGGCGTTATATGTCCTTTCGATATCATATTGGAGAACTGTTTAACAGGTCCACTCAAGAATTATTTCACTCTCTGAGAATGTCCTTTCTATGTCTGACTTTTCTGTTACTACTAATTAAGTTTATTAGTAGTATGTTATTAAGATGTTATTAAGTTTCACGTTAACTTGTAAAGTTTCACGTTAACTTGTAAAGTTTCACGTTAACTTGTAAATTTTTGTCAAATAGAAATGCAAATGAGTTGTCTAGTAGAAAACATCATCTTGGAGGTTATGGGTTTACTGTCTTATTGAACATTAATCAGTTTTGTATCTTACTTGCAATATTCTATTAACATTTTTTTCAAATGCTTTCTTTTTTTAAGATTTATTTATTTATACATGCAAGAACTGGGGTGTAGACCAGAGGTACAAGGGGTGCAGAGTGTGTGTGTGTGTGAATGGATTCACCAGAGACAGAGTAGGGAGCAGAACAGGCAAATGTTTAGATATACACTGCTGAGGGGAGCAGCTGGCAAAACTGGAAGAGGTTTGCTGTGACATGTGGGTTAGTTCCCTGGCATGTAGGTTAGTTTCCTGGCTTGCTTGGGGATTGAACTCATGCTGCAGTAGCTGATGTAACTTGATAGTGCTGTCTGTGCCACCAGGGAGGCTCCAAATGTTTATATATACACAAGTCTTCAACTGACTCTGAAATAATTTCCTGTTATTTCTCTCAATGAGATGAACATTTTTGACACAAGTTCATTCTAAAGTTGCATTAAATCACATTCTTAATTAAATCACAATTTAATGATATTACTTAATGTTTCATTTGCATGTCACTTTAAATCATCCTGGGAACACAGATGTGAGTCATACATTTTAAGACACATTATTAGGTTATAATAATGTGAAATGAAACTTGGGGAATTATTTCTCTTATAAAACATTAAGCAGCTTTGTATTTTACCTGCAATTTTCTATTAACATTCTTTTTCCAAATGTTTTCTTTTTTTAAAAGATTTATTTATTTATGCATACCAAAACTGGGCTGTGTAGGCCAGAATGCAGGTTGGGGGAAGTTCCCTTTTAGATTGAAACAATTTAAAACTCAGGTTGAAATTTATATATTATATACTTTATGAGTATACATGCTAGGGTTGGAGAATTTTTTTAATTAACTGATTTTTTAATTGAAGTAATATTGGATAATAACATCATATAGGTTTCAGGAATACTGTAGCCTTTTATATCAATACCTGCATATAACACATTTATATTTGCCACTTGAATTCTAGTTTGCAACCATCACCATAGTGAATCTTGATGGTTTCCTTAATTTTTTCCCCATGTTGTAAACTGCCATGCTGACTTATAAAGCCAATTCCTCATCCTTTATATCAGAGCTCTCAGGATACAATTATTTATGTTTTATACTTTAACATTTAGACATTTTAACATATAAATCAATACTTTGCTTCTTGGATACTTCTTCTTCATCACCAACTTCATCTTCGGTAACCTCAGATCCAGTGGTATATTCTTCTTCTTCTGAAAATAATGACTGCTGCTTCTAAAAAAAAAAAATTAAAAATCCATGAAACAAATCCTACTAAAAAATGTAAGATTATCATATCCCTAGCGAACTATTTCAAACTGTTTATCTAAATTTATGTTGGATGGGATTAGCCAAACTAGAGTTGATAAAATGACCACTGTCTACCAAAACAACCAGGAAGCGGGCAATGAATATCTACATTTAGAATAGGATCACATTGCATCAAATATTTTATTTTCTTATAGATCTTAGCAGAAGGGTGGGTAAATAATACTCAGTACTTGTTGACCTGAATATCTACCACTCAACTGGATGTGTATTACTGTGATATGAAGATTATATTAAAATACAATAATGGCCAATATTAAAGTAATCAGTTAAACAAGCACATGTACATCGTCTGGGTAGATGTGACTTTGGGTACTTAACCATATCTGCTTCAGTTTCCTGCACCTATTCACTATATATTTGTCATCACTAAACCAAATCCCTATTTCATTCTTGTGAATATTAGTGACAGATGGAAAAGTAAAAGGTAAACAGTTGGGGGAAAAAATCAACTGGAAAAAAATCAACAAAAAAAACAAACCAAAAAATTGGAAAAATTATTTGCTATTTTGTTCAATATCCTATGTGAGTTAAAATTTTAGAAGCTATAAAAGATGATGACATATATTTAATTATAATTTGTAAAATGAGATAGCATTAAGATTAAACTAAGCTGTAATTTAGGAAGAAATAAATTCCTATGAACATGGAATATAACTGCTCACTTACCAGTTGCAGAGTCCAGTTTTTCAGTGACAAGAACTATAGCATAAAGACAAAGGGAACAGAGATTAATATATATGCATATACCCAGATAGCAGCTCTTTATTTCATTATGGATATTATAGAAGAATTGAAAAAAATTACAAGTTCCCTTTTAGATTGAAACCATTTAAAACACAGGTTGAAAAGTATATATTACAGTCTTTAATATCCTCTACTTAAGAAGATATTAACTTGCCTAGAGAATCAAAACTTTCTGATCACCTTAAAACTATTTCAGTTTTTGGGTCCTCCCTGGTGGCATAATGGGTTAAAGCACAGCACTGTAAGCGAGCAGCAGCCACTTCAATGTGAGTTCGATCTCTAGCCCCAGAGGTAACCCACATGGCTAGGCAGACCTCTTGTGACCCGCCCACTGCTCCCCCTCAGGAGTATACTTTGTCAATCTGCCTGTTCTGCTCCCTACTCTGTCTGTGGTGAATCCTCTTAGCCCCTGCACCTCTGGCCTGCACCCTAGTTCTGTATGCATAAGTAAGTAAATCTTAAAAAAAATAAAACTATTTCAGTTTTGAAACCTTTGAAAAGCTAAATGTGTTCCTGATTTTTCTATACTGAAAAAAAGATTAGAGAAGTAGAAGGGGATAAAATATCTCACTCATGTTATCCTCATTCCTCAAATAATTTGTTTTGTCCATATAAAATAATTAAGATCATGTATATTTTTACTCAAATTTATTAGTTATTAATTCTTTGAGGGCAAGAAATGTTTCTACTAATTATCCTATGGTCCAATTTTTTTTAAAGATTTATTTTATTTACTTACACACACAAGAGTTGGGGTATAGGCCAGAGGTACAGGGGATGAGAAGTGGTGAGTGGATTCATTAGAGACAGAGTGGGGAGCAGAACAGGCAGACTGCTGAGGGGAGCAGCGGGCAAGACAGGAGAGGTCTGCTATGCCATGTGAGTTACCTCCATGGGTGGGGATCAAACTTGTGTTGTAGTGGCTGCCAACAACTTCATCGTGCTGCAACTTAACCCCCTGTGCCATTAGGGAGGCCCCCAGTGGTCCTATTAACTCATCCATTAATACAGTAAATGGTTAGTTATAGTTACTGAATGCTTATTAACTGAAAATTTTAATTTCAATTAAAACTACTATCTGCTAATGATTACATGCCATCAATTGTTTATATAAACAAAGAGTAAGTGACACAAGCTACTCACAGCATTAAGCTCCCCACTTTTGGGGCCCCACGGTGTACTAGGCTCCAGCAAAACATCACAGTCCAGCCCCTTTTCATCACAGGGACCAAGCCCAGAATCACTTGAAAGAAAAAAGACATCTTTTTTAATCAAGAAGTGTTCAATATCTTAAGAACTTAAATACAATTTTTATCATTTATTACAAATTGCTCTTAAGATACATAAAAAATACTTAGTTCTAAAGTATAACATATGTACTGCAACATTTACATTTTTCAATTTATCTAGAGATTCCCTTAACAAAAGTCATCATATACAAGGAAACACCACTGCACTATAAGAAGTTGTCAAGTGGTGAAATGAGCTGCTATGATTGGTACTGCTTTGAGAAAAACCTTTATCAAAGGATCCTCCCACCCCCATAGTGACAGCTCACTGCAACATCAAAATGATGGAAGTGACTTCAGAAATTTCTGAAATCAAGGGGTTTAAATTAGTGCACAACTGGCCTCAATCATCAACTTTCCCCCTATTATATGCATTTAAAGAAAAGTTTAAGTAACATGGGAAATAAAAACAGTCCTCTAAAAACTGCATTGCAGGTGCCAACCTTTACAATCATTTTTTCATATCAGCTTTTCTTCCTGCTGGATCTTCACTATTTTGAAGTATTTTTTCTATCAAATAAAAACATCTGCTTGCTCTTATTCAAAGCTACCATATGTATTCATTTAAACCTTATGGAATAATATAAACTATTACTCATTTAGAGAGGCAGTAGGGGACACAAGATTCTGAGATGGAAACCATTAAATAAAGCAACAGTACAATGTCATCGCAGCCCACTCACTTAACTGCATCTTTAGAAAAAGGCACAATAATGACATCTTTGTGCTTGTGTAGATCATCCAGTATTCTAGTAGTTGGGCAGGACAGCAAATCTCTACCTTCACCTTGATCATCAAGAGCAACCATATGGTCTCTCACTTTACAGCCCTGTCATGTAAAAGACACTAGATTATAAAGAGACTGGGGTGTTACAGAAACATTCATTTAAGGATGACTATAAGGTTTTGTTTTTCTTTGCCCAATCATATCCATCATTTCACAAGGAAAAAAAAAAACCTCTTAAACATATACACTTTAACAAATATAAAAAAATATACATGTAACCAACCTCCACATTAGAAATAAATGCCAACACTCCAGAAGTCCCATAGGCCCATTACCTATCACAACACCACCCTTTTCCCAAAATATAATCCCTACCCCAACTTTTACTGTTTACCGATGTAACCCTAAACAATATAGTTTAGATCCATCTCACTTGTTTTGTCCAACATTGTTTATATGACTGTAATAACAACATTTGCTTTAATGGAAAGGATTCCACTAAATGAATAGATATAATCTGCTTATTCCAACTATAGTTGAAGGATGGGTTGTTATCACTTCGGAATTATTATTAATGATACTCTTATTAATAATCTTATACATGTTTACTGGCACATGTGTTCACATGTACCAAATTTTATCATTATCAGCAGTACATGGACATGACAATTCCTCGTATATCACATCCTTACTAACACTTAAGACAGATGTTTTCAGTTATCCTGATGATCATGTAGTGGTATCTTACTGTGGTTTTAATTTGTATTTCACTAATTACAGATGAGGCTGAGCTCTTTTTCATGCTTACTGGGCAACTGAATGTATTCTTGTGTAAAGTTCCCACTGTCTATTTTTCTTAAGGTGTTAATAGGTTGATGTGGTAAAATATCATCAACTATTAAGGAGATATGTTACTAATATCTGGCCCTATCTGTGAGTTTGTATCCTCATTTTCCATTTATTTAATGTAATTGATTATATTGTAATGTAATTTATTTAATGTAGGTGATTTAAATCTCTTCTTGTTAGGTACTATCTTTGTGTTACTAGTTTTCCTTTCACAACTTTCTTTTTGTGAACAGTTTGGACTAGATTTCAATTCCATTTCCCCTATATAGATATTCCAACATACCACTGTTCCTTACTGGTAACTCTATCCACAGCCCATTGTTCTGTAATGACAATACCATCAGTCAAGTATCCAACAGAGGAGTCTGGAATACTCTATTCTCTTTTATTTTCTATTGCTCCATCTATCTCTATTTTCTGGTGTCATTCTGTCTTAATTATCAACTTTATGAAACTACACTTGATTTCTGATAGGGCAGGTAATTTTTATATTATTAATTTTTTAATAATTATTTTATACATTGCTGTAAATTTTTAGACAATTTTTGATTTATCCCTTTCAGGTATAATTCTTGTAGTTCTCTCAACACAATACCTCGTGATCCAGCATCAAGGTCTCTTGCGCTCTTCTCTTTTTGTTTTGATGCCTAAACTTTCACCATCCCCTGCTATGATCCTAAGAGCTATGGTCAGCTTACAAGTTTTGTCTTTTGTCTGAAACCTATATTCCATTTATAAGTGAAACCATTTGATATTTATCTTTTTTCTTCTGCCTTATTTCACTGAGCATTATCCCTTCCATCTCCATCTGCAAATGGCATGAGTTCATCTTTTTTGATTGCTAAGCAGCATTCCATCAAGTAAATATACCACATCTTTTTGATCCATATTTTGAGGCATTTGGGTTATTTTCATATCTTAGCTATTGTAAGGAATACAGGTTTTCTTTTGGAATAGTGTTTTTGTGTCCTTTAGGTAGATTCCTAGAAGTAGAATTACTGGAGCATGCAATAGGTCCATTTTTAGTGTTCTAGGAACCTCCACAGAGCTTTCCATAGTGGTTGAGTGACCAGCAGTGTTAGGAGGGTTCCTTGTTTTCAGCACATCCTCACGAGCATTTGTTGCTTTTAAAATATTTTTCAGTTTTTCTGTTTGGAGGTTCCTCAAACTGCTAAACATGGAGCTTCCCTACGACCCAGCAATCCCACTCCTAGGTATCTATCCAAAAGACACAAAAATACTGATTGAAAAAGATACTTGTACCCCCATATTTATTGCTGCTTTATTTACAATTGGAAAAACATGGAAGCAGCCCAAATGCCCAAAAGTAGATGACTGGATAAAAAAGATGTGGTACATATATACAATGGAATATTACTCAGCAACCAAAAAAGGGAAACACATGTCTTTGGCAGCAACTTGGATGGAGCTGGAAAAGATCATGCTTAGTGAGATAAGCCAGAAAGAGAAAGAAAAATACCAGATGGTTTCACTCATAGCAGGAGTATAATGGACCAGGTGGAAAATAACAAAAATAATGAACAACCCTATACCAGAGACATTTTGTGGGGGTGGAGTGGGGAATGGGATCAAAAACGGGGTGGGGGGAGGGAAATGCACAGGATTATGGTGATGGCACATGGGTGATTTGGTGATGGGAAACCCGCGGGGATTACAATTGAGATGGAAAAAAATGTGCAAAATGATGTAAAAATAAACTTTTGTAATAAAAAAATATTTTTCAGTTTTTAAAAAAGATTTGCTCATTTATTTGTGCATATAAGAAATAGGGAATAGGCCAGGGGGTGAGAGAACTCACCAGAGAGAGTGGGAACCAGAATAGGCAGATCGACTGAAATACACTGCTGAGGAGAGTAGTATGCAGACAGAAGAGGTCTGCCAAGCCATGTGAGTCACCTCCTATCAAGTTCAAGCTGCAATGGTTGGCAAAAGCTTGATAGTACTGAGACTTGACTCATGCTCCACCAGGAAGGTCCCAGTACTTGATTATTTTGGAGGTTCTTATAAATGGTTTCCTTTTACAAATTTTATTTTCTAACCTCATTGATAAAAATAAATTAATCAAATCCTTACTGACTCTAATTTGTATAATAATTTGTACATAGGTTCTTTAAAGTTGTTCACATTATCATTTACAAATTATAACAGTTCCTTTATAGTTTTTTCTTTTTCTTGTATTAATGACTATCCAGGATCTCCAGGTCATTTTCTTTAATGATTTATGTACGTATGTATGTATGTATGTATTTATGCAAGAACTGGAGTGCAGGCCAGAAGTGAGGGAGGTGAGGTGATTCACCAGAGACAGAGTGAGGAACAAAACAGGCAGATCAACTGAAATACATTGCTGCGGGGAGCAGCAGGTGAGACAGGAGAAGTCTGCTGTGCCATGTGGGTTAGCTCCCTGGCTGGCCAGGAATGGAACTCTGTGCTGTAGTGCCTTGCAGTAGCTTGATAGTATTGTATCTTAACCCTTTCAACACCAAGGAGGTCCCCTCCAGGTCATTTTGAATGAAATGTAGTGACAAAGAGCATCCTTATTTGCTCATAATTTCAAAGAAAAATCTTTCTATATTCCCCCATTTTGACATCTGCTGTTTGATATTCTTTACCCTTTACTGAATTACATAATTTCTCTGTTATTTCTAAATTTGGTAAGGATTTTAAAAATTCTTTTTTAATCATTCCAATCATTCTTTCATACATATTACTTTAGAAATTACATATTCTTTTATCTTTTTAGTGGTTACCTCACACTTGTAACATGTATCCTTGACTTATTAAAGTCTGGAATGTAATACCCTTCTCAAATAATGCAAGACCTTTTTAAACTGCTTTTCACTGCAACCCCAACCCAATTTAAAGGCTACTGTGGGTTATAAATGATACATTAAAATGGTGAGTATAGATCAATTGCTTAAAATTTCTCTATCTGAGCCCTCCCTGGTGGTGTTAACAGATTAAAGCACAGCACTATGAAGTAGTTCACAGCCACTGCAGCACAAGTTTGATTCCAAGCCAGAGAGGTGATCCACATTGTGTGATAGACTTCTCCTGGCTTGCCCCCTGCTCCCCTCAGCAGTATACTTCAGTCAGTCTTCCTATTCTGCTCCCCATTCTGTCTCTGGTGAATCCTTGCCCCCTGCATCTCTGGCCTGTACCCCATTTCTTGTATGGATAAATAAATAAATCTTAAAAAAATAAAATCCCTCTATCATTAAAATAATTAAATATTACAAAAACACACAAAGCATACCATCATTGTTTTACATAGCTGAAGTTCATTTAGTGATGCAGGGGTTAAAGTCTCAGTGCTATCAAGTTGTGGCCAGTCATTGTAGCACTAGCTCATTCCCCCCCATCTACCCCCTCAAGGGCCAGGGAGCTGACCCATTTGGCACAGCAGGTATCTCCTGTCTTGCCCACTGCTCCCCTCAGCAGTGTGTCACTCCCCTCAGCAGTGACCCACCTATTCTGCTCCTTCCACCTCTGGCCTATACCTCAGTTTTTGTAGGTATAATAAATAAAATAAAATTTTAAAAGATTATTAGCATTTTCTTTAAACCAGTCTATTTGTATATTCCTTTTACTTTTTTGTCTAAAAATATGTTTACTTTGCCTTCATTATTAAAATATATTTAAAGATTTCTAGGTTGCTAAATATTTATTTTTGCTCACTGAAGAATGAGTGGACTAGACTCTGGTATCCATTGCTACTGTTGAGATATAAACTCTAATTACTGATGCTTTGCAGGGATTCTTTATTTTTTCCCTCTGGTACCTTTTGAAAAGTTACTTTTTTTCCCCCTTCATTACAATACATGCAGGTATGGATTTCCTATTATCTTATGGGTAGTCACCAGATTTCTTAAATCTATAAATATTTTTCAATCATTCTGAAAATTCTCATTCAGTATCTCTTTAATTTAGTCCTCTAATCCATTCCATTTCCTATTGGGACTCACACAAAAAGACAAAAACTTTATCATTTATCTATATAAAGTACTTAGAGTAATCAAATTCAGAGACAGGAAGTATAGTGATATTTGTCATGAGCTGAGAGGAAGGGAAACAGGAATGGGGATTATAATTTTATGAGAATATAGTTTCAGTTTTGCTGTAAGAAAAATTAGGAGGACCCTAGTATGGTGTTTTATATTTATTGCACAGATGATGAAAAGAGTTTCAGGTTGCTTTCATTTGCTTGTAAAACTGAATTACACAGCATTTTAGAGATTTTAAGTGCTCTAGAATTCTAGCCTATATATAACAGCATTCACATATTGTACCAATATACCTGTGTGAGAATACTCATTGCAACACCCAGAAACAACCTAAATGCTTACCAGAAGGAGAATGGTTTAATAAATCATGATATAAATATATCCTGGAATACTACACAGGATTTAAGTGAAATGACATAGACAACCAATGCATACTGTTGAGTGAAAAATGTGAACTGCAGAATAGTATGACCTTATTTCAATTTTTGAAAAAAAAAGAAAAACTACATAAAGTGTTACTGAAACAGATAAACCAAGATCTGAAAGGAGGGCCCTCCCTGGTGGTGCAAGGGGTTAAAACACAGCACTATGAAGCAGTCCAGAAGCCAATGTAGCACAAGTTCATTCCCCGGCCAGGGAGGTGACCCACACTCCTGACCTGCCCGCTGCTCTCCTCAGCAGTATATTTCAGTAGATCCGCCTGTTCTGCTCCCCAATCTGTCCTGGTGAATCCTCTCACCCCACCCTTGCACCTCTGGTCTGTACTCTAGTTCCTGTATGCATAAATAACTAAATCTTAAAAAAAAAATCTTATAAAATTTGAAAGGAAACTGTTAGCTATGGTTACCTTGAAGAACAGATGTTGAATAAGGAGAGATGGAAGGAGGAACTTCTACTTTGTATTATACTTATGTGTTGGTTAAAGTCTTTTCTAGATTAAAGTATTAGCTTTATACTTTAACAACAATAAAAGGGGGAAATACGTAACTTCAAAAGAATAACGTTCAAAATTTACCTTTGTAAGCTGAGTGGGATCAAACCGAAGAACCTTTTGGTTACAGCATGGATAAATTCCAGTGCCGGTGGTACTAAGTGAATTTGCTGTGGTAGGGTAAACCACTGTTTCTGAGTGATATTGACAATGTGAAAATTCTACACAGAGAAATGTCTGAAGAGAAGGAAAAATACAATCAAATATTCTCATAATGAAATTATGTACCTTAAAAATACTTTATTCAAGACCATATAATGTATTTCCCACTTACATAAAATGTATAGAAAATACAAATCTCTAGAGACACAACTCAGGTTAGTTATTTGGTTCCTGGAATTGGAAGTGGGACTGGGGAATTGCAGGAAATGAACATAAATGATCTTTTTGAGGAGACAGAAATACACTAAAATCAGGTACAACTCTGTAAGCTTACTAAAAATGCACCCAAAATTATGAATTTTATGGCATATCATTACAGCACAAAAAAGCTATTAAAAAACAAACAAAAACACTTTATTCAAAATTCAGATGAATTACATTGATATTAATGTATATTTTATTTTATAACTGGTCAATCATAAAAAAAACGAAACAAAAGTTTGCCTCGTTTGGTTATTTTTTGACATTTTTAAAGTAAATACTTAGTTTCAGTATTAATGAAAATTAGGTAATAACACTAAAACTCTGATGGAAAAAAATTAGATTTAATAAAATTAGTAGGGTTCAAAAATGTTTATTAAGTTGGTCAAATAATATAAAGAAAATCATAAAATTAATAATTCTAAGCACTGATCTTAAACATAAAAGGAAAGACAGTCTATAATTCAGAATTCATAGTTCCAAGTATGATTTTCAAGCAATGGCTTTTAAGTAAAAATTTCTGAATAGGAGAAAAGCCAAAAGGTACACACAATGTATTCTATGAGCTCATGTATTCTCCATAAAAAACATGAAATAGTGTAATTCAAACTTCAAATTGCTAAAATATTTCTCAAGTTTTCTGTTCTGACAAGAGACACAGGTTTTAGAAGCCTGGTATCCTTGCTCAGAAGTGATACTCTGTTGTGGGAAAGACCACTATATACCTATTATCTAAAAAAACAACCCAACATGACAATATCAAGTGTTAGTGAGGATGTGGAGCAACTAGAACTCCCATCATAGGTAATAGGAAGGTAAAATGATTCAACGACTTTGTAAAACTTTTACCGTACAACCTTTCTATCTTAGTTCTAGTAACTACCAAAAAGAAATAAAGCTTTATGTTCAACTGAAAATTGGTAAGGGTTTTACTTGCTTTCTTCATAAATGACCCAAACTAGAAATCTACAAAGTGCTTCACTGGCCACATAATACACTAAGATACTTATACAATGGACGACTAGCATCTAGCTATAAAAAGTGGTAAACTGATATGTATATAAGATGGGTAAGTTTCAAACCCATTTTACAAAATAAAATAAACTCTACTCAAAAAGCTAAACACTAAATTATTAGGCTATATGGAGACTATTGGGTGGAAACTATACAATTTGAAACATCTCATTATGATGTTTCTTCTCTCTACTGAAAATCATTATCCAAGCCAGAGAGGAAAAATTATGAGGAGATGGGAGACATTAGAGAGTCATAAGAAATTTTCTACACAACACTGTGGATTTATACATGTACGAATGAGGAGTGTTTGTGACCTACAAAAGGTATAGTCTTTATTATAAGTGCCTTAAAATAGCAAACTTTCCTGTGCTTGTATTACAGACTTCATTATTAAAAAATGAACAAAGGACCCTCTCTGGTGGCACAACAGGTTCGGACACAGCACTGGAAGCTGGATGCAGTCTCTTCAGTGCGAGCTGATCCTCAGCCCTGGAGGTGTCCCACATGGCAAGGCAGGCCTCTCTTGTCTCACCTGCTCACTGCTCCCCTCAGTAGTGTACTTCACTGATCTGCCTGTTCTGCTCCCCACTGTCTCTGGTGAAGCCTCTCACTGCCCCTACACCTCTGGCTTGCACCCCAGTTCTGTATAAATAAATAAATCTTAAAAAAAAAAATATGAACAAAACCTTTTTGGGACCCCTCTCTGCAATAGTAACTTTTGAATTTCTAAAGAAATTTGTGGGCTAACAGAGAAACAGTTTGGTTGGAAACAATTCAAGATAATAAGGATTCTGTATTTTGTTCCATTGAAAGATTGGAAGATTGGATTTGTCCACTTAAAACTTGGTTTTCTAAAAATTCACCATGGCACTGGAAATAAAAAAAGGAAGAAGCAATACAGTGAGAGAATGAAGCCAGATACCAGATACAAGCATTGTTAAATAGCACCATCCAGTGACTAGTTAGTTTTAAAAAGCTATCAGATATTGCCTATAATTTTTATATATGCCATGCAAACATACTAATTAAATAGCATCTATCAAAAGAGCCTGCTCTCAGGGTAGTAAAACAAAAAACAACTTACCTGGTAACATCTTGAACATGTTAGCCAGTTGACAGTTCCCCACAAGCGCCAATATACATCTCTCCAAGACTTTAATTCTTCAAAAAGACTATTCAAATATTCATGAACATCCCAAGTCTTATCTCTGGGGAAAAGAGCAATTAATATAAACAATTTGTTTTTAAACAAATGCTTTTAAATTTGTGGCTAATTTCCAAGAGCATTCATCAGATGATGCTGTGGAATGGACTATACTGAACAGTAGATAAAATTTCATTTGGGGGTTTGTTTATTTTTTCTCTTTTTCTGTGAAAAATGGAAAAAAGTATGAAAGATTAAATGCCAGACTATTTTAGCTAAATTAGATTAGGAATTAAAAGATAAATATATTTGGAACAGGGTATTTAGGTATATATTGCTAAATGGAAGTTATATTCTAATTGCACATATTGTAAAATAAGTTTTTATCAATAATACTAACATTTCATTAATGTTGCCAAGAAATTGACTTCATTTCATTATTGTATTAGTTCTTTATATTATTATTATTATTATTTTAAAGATTTATTTATTTATGCATACAGAACTGCGGTACAGATCAGAGGTGCAGGGGTCGTGAGAGGATTCACCAGAGACAGAGTGGGAGGCAGAATGGGCAAACTGAAGAACACTGTTGAGGGGAGCAGTGGGTGGGTCAGGAGAGGTCTGCAGGGCCATGTGGGTCACCTCCAGGGTGGGGATGGAACTCATGCTGAAGTGGCTTCTTAGTGCTGTGCGGCTGTGCCACCAGGGAGGGTCCTTTTTTTTTTTTTT